CATGTGACTGCTGACAACCAGTCACCTTGCCTGCTGCTCCCAGCCTGAAGCAGCCAGTCTGGGACAGCAGAAAACCTGGACATTTGCTCTTTTTAAAAAAACCCGCCCAGCTGCAGCACAGGGGTCCAAAAAAGATGGCATGTCTGGGAAAACCTAGACGTATGGTAACCCTGTTTTAAACTCTGCCTGTTAGCAGGTAGATGTATGGCCACCATCCAATGAAACTACATTTGTTACTGAAGGTTGAGGTTATACGTTTGCTTTACTGCTGGATGACGGAAGCAGGGATCCCAATATCCCTTTTGGTCCTGATCTTTTTTTTCCCCAAGAATTTCCTGGGATAAAAACCAGAAAGCTTTATGGGAAGTTGTCTCCAGAAGGCTCCAGAACTTTCTGGCCTGTACTTTCAGTGATGGCAGGTACATGAGGAAGACTAGCCATAACCATTCCATGCCAATGACTATTTTACTCTGTGCGCTGTAAATGGATGCCTTCTGCTTTGTCAACAACAGTGCTCAGTTCCTGCAAGATCAAAACTAGTTGTGTTCATGACTTCAAGCATGGTGAGTGCCCCCTTAACTGGCTGATTTTTGGGTTCCCTGGGTCCTGATGGATGTAGCTGTTGGTGATGGGGGGTGAGTGAGAGCTGTGCAGATGCAGCCCTTGCTCATGCTGCTGCCTGAATGCTGATCTGCACCTGCTGCAGCTGCCACTGGCCCTGTGGTTCTGCCCCATAAATCTAGAGACCTACTCAATTCGTGTTTTTTGTGGGTTTCATAGAAACCACAAATTTGGGCAAAGTCTGTGAAATCTGCAAAATAAAAAGAAAGAAGAAAAAAAATAAAATGTTGGGTCCCCAGTGGGAGCCAGCAGTCTTCATGGCCAGTTTGTCCTGGCAGCCCACTGGAAGGGAGGGGGGAGGGGGATGGGAAGCCATCATTGCAGAGGGGAGTAGCCAAGAGGGCAGCTGCTACCTGTCTTTGCCAGTTGGTGGCAAGTAACAGGGTCACACGATAGGACAGCCCTCTCAGTAAGTCAGAGGTATGGGAGGGAGGGCGCTGTGATAAGCTTGTGAAAATGGCAGCTGGCCCTGCGATCAGCCACCTGCCTCCTTGGTTTCAGTAGTTTCCTAGCCATGAGATATGGTCTGGATCTGGCTTGGGGCTCACAGTTGGTTTAACACTTCCTTTATCTCATCTTGGCCCCTCTAATTTTGGCCAGTAATTTTCCCTAAGGCATAGTATCAAAACTTTTTTTGCTAAGTCCACTGCATTGCTCTCGTTTAAGAAATTGATGATCTTCTCATAGGATAATATTATATTAGTTTGCAATCATCCTCCAAGGAACAAGCTATCCTGTTCCCATGTTTGTCCATATCCTGAATTATTTATTCCTTTGGTATCTGTTCTAAGACTTTACCCACAGCTAGACACAAGTTAACAGCTCTGTAACTGCCTCTTTATTTTATTTTCTTTTTAAAAATAATGACAAAAATGGTGCTATATTTGCTATTTTACAAGAATGTAGGGCTACCATCCTTGCTGATCCATGCTAGAGGTGTTCTTGTTTTGTTTGCCACATCTTTCATTGTTTTGGGATGGGGATCATCTGGGCCACTCCATTTTGTGATATCACGTGGTTTGTTTGTTTTTTGTTTTTTTTTTTTTACTTCTACCTGCATACAGTGATTTCTATATCCATGTCCTCATTGTAATGTGCTACCCCACTCAATTGCAGCTTCATACTTACTGAAGAGTGAGGCAAAGTATTTTTATTCTTGAATCTGTACCCTAGCTTCAGCTTTAGCTTTATTTCTTCCCTCTTAGTTCTTTCACTTTAGTTCTATATTCTTTGAAAACAGAAATATGGTCCCTCCTCTTCCTCCATCCTTCTGTTTGGTCCCAATTTTGGTTCCATGTAAATCCTGTGCTTAGTTTTGCTGGTCTGTGTTTGCAGTGCTTGTTTGATGTGAAAGTGTGCAGCTGTTTCCTTTGCCTGCTACTGATTCCATTTGCAATTAGGACTTCATGCAGCCATTTTTGAGGACAGCTTAGTTTTGGTGGCTGCAACATGAGATCTGCCAAATGCTCTCCAACCCACATGTGGAGAGGACACCCGAGGACCTGGTCATACACTATGCCTGTAACTCCATAGCAGTAAAGTTGGGAGGAAAATGTGGAGTTGCTGTCTAGGGGGGGAGAGGGGAGATCTAAGTGTTGTGAGATGCTGGGCTGCCTAGTTCCCTAACAAAAATTGGTGAAGTGGACAGGTGTAACCTGAACAAAGTTCACTTCCATATCAGGCATTCCTAATTCATCCAGGTTTTTAATTTTTTTTCTTTCAGTTTAAGGAGGGGTTAAGTTGTGCCTGAATACCTCTGTGCATTGTATGTCTGCTTACTTTATTTTATTATTTTAAACCTGTTATTGCATAATACATGTTACATGTGTACACACTCCAAATCAGTTTTAATGTCCACATGCTATGCTAGTTTGTGTAGACCTGCATGTTATTTATTCCATGCTAGGCCAAAATGTCATACTTGTCTTTCACCCCTATTAATATCTCTGTAAGACAACTAGTATGTGTTTTTGGCCTGCCCGAGCTCTCCTGAGCACACCCAACATTTTATAATGTCAACTTGCATTACTGTGTCTGTTTCTTTGGTTCATTTAATTTGTGACTTCATTCTTTAAACTCAATGTTGCTTTAACCTGGATGATACCAATTTGCGCTTATTCAAAAAATAATCGATACTAGCTGAAACCTGCAAAACATTTATGATTACATTTTCATTGCAAAAGTATTTCTTTGAATACGGGATTTTTTAAGTTATCCTTTGATGGAATACTTAAACAGAATCAAAACTTCCCACCCTCAAAAAGGTTATGTAAAGCTGTCCATGTGTAAACACGAGTCCTCTGGATACATATTTTATCAGAAGTCTGACCTTGTGACTTGTGTATAGTCATAGAATATGAGGGCCCTTGTACATGTGACTAAGAGCCCTTTGTACACATGAGGAAGTTGCCCCTTTTAGTGGTTTAATGTCCTTTTTAACAGTTTAATTGCATAAGTGTACACGTTTGGTGGCATGTTATGATTAAATTTCATAACAGTATACATGTTTGGCAACGTATTTTGATTTAAATGACTTATGTTGAAATTCAAACACATCCCACGTATTTTAGTTTGTTACATAACAAATTACAGCGATGTTCCTCATGTGTACAAGGGCTTTATCCAGAGAAAGCGATGGGGATGGTACACGGGGTGCTGGAAACCCGGGTGTGCTCAGGAAAGCTCGGGCTTTGCAGGCTTCCAGTGCTCCATGCACCTTCCCTGCTGTCACCCAGCTGCCCTCCTGCCACCTTCTTGGGGCAGCCAGCCCATTTCTGGGTGGGAACGTGGCGAGGATAGTCCATGGGGTGCTGGACCCTGCCAAGCCTGAGCTTCCCTGATCATGCCCAGGCTTCCTGCTCCCCATGCACTGTTGGATCCAGCAGGTGCTGCCTCTTAGCTGGGGCTGCACCCACACAGCTAGCACCGTGCCTGGGCAGCCCTGGTGGGGGATGCTGCTGCTGTGGAGGGAAGCATCCCTTTCCTCCCGCCCACAGTTCAGGGGCTGTGTGGCCCAGGGGCAGGTTACATGGGCAGGCTCTGCTGGAGGGGAGTGAAGGGGGGGGAAGCAGCAAAGGGCCTAATCTTTTCTTTTCTCCGTTTTCTTATTTTTCTCTTGGAGCCTGCCTCTGTCTCCTGTGGCTGGAGTGTGAGCTACTGGCGGGTTGCACAGCCGATGAGCTGTGAAGGACCCCGATATTTCCTTCTGTGGTGGTGGTGGCCCCTGGGCAGCACCCACCCCCTGACACCCTGCCTGGGGGGTGCTGCTGCCGCAGAGGGAAGCACTAGAGCCCCCTGCAGCTCAGGACCCACTGGCAGCTTGCCTCCCCTGATGCGGGAGAAGCGGGCAGGAGGTGGGAAAAAAAGGATTGGGCGCATCACTGCTTTTTCCACACCTCCCCCTTCAGCAGAGCCTTCTCGGTCCATGACAGGGGCCTTGGTGCTTCATTATAGCTCTGACTTGCCTGCATATCTGTTTGAAATGCGTATTCTGTCTGCCTGGAGCACTCTGGTTGTTTCAGTAAGGATTGTGATTGGCTGCTGAGGCAATGAATCTGTGCTCCGGACAGAGAGAATAAGATGATGATGATGATGATTATTATTAATACTTTTCCTGAAACGAAAAAATATGACTTTTTTTGTAGTGCAGTCACTTCCTTCCTTTCTAATAATATTGACAAGCATGCCTATGAATGAGTCATGCAAAACTGTAGTCAGTGATGATGGTTTTGAAGTGTTTCTTTTTATTAAATGTAAATAGTGTGTACCTTGGGAAATAATCCTATGTTCTTTCACTGGTTCCACTGGTGATAGCAGTTAGCACTGCCTTTTAATTTAAAAAAATATTATCACTGTTTTCTGTCAGGTCACCTATTGTCAGTTATATTTTGGAGCCATCTGTGTATAAGTGATTTGGACTTAATTTGCAAGAAATTTATGCACTTATATGGAAGCTGGAACTTCTGTTGGTTTTCTGTTCATTATTGTTAATAATCAGACTTGCAAATGTACTCATTTGCAGGATTCCAGAATGTAGGAAAATAATTACTTCAGGTAAATTTGTAAACTCGCTTATACTGGGTATTACAATATTTGGGCGTGTATTTTAAGACATAAAAGATAACCAAACAGTAATTGGAAATATGTCAATTTATATTAATTACTATTTTTTAAATTTATCCCCTGTTAGGTGAAATTCTGTGACTGATGTTCAGTATGGTTGAATATAATTTATCGTAGTGCTTAGCCATTTGAATATCAGCCTTTGACCCAACACATCTTAATCCCGTGTGTTTTAGCTGTTGGTTTGATCTGAAGAGCGGACTATTTTAGTGTGAAATGCAAACAGCTATTTTATTAACTTTCTCTTGTGGTTTCAGAGGTCAGCAGATGGGTCAAGTCCAGAAGATGGAGAAGGTAAGGGAGTACCTTTGTTTGAAAATGGCTAGTTATTGCTCAGTGAAAGTTGGTCTCTAGCTCTGAATTGTCCTTTCTGTGCCGCTCCTCCAGATTCAGATCACGAGGATGGAAGTTACTGTCCTCCAGTAAAGCGGGAAAGAACTTCATCTTTAACACAGTTTCCTCCTTCACAGTCAGGTAAACCACTTCTTTATATTTAACATGTTATACATACTTGATTATTCTCACCTGGGACTTTCTGAGGAAGGGTGGAGGAGTGGGGTGTGGGGAATGATCACATTCCCTGACCTAATATGGCAACCAGCAAAGCTCAGAAGCATGGCATAACCAAACATCCTCCACTCTGTACTGCAACTTGGGGACCAAAAATACAATGCCATACCTTCTCTTAACCAGAACTATTACTAGGTAGACAGACAACTGACTTAATAAAAGAGCATGAATAAGCATTGGTCAGGGATGATTATAGAGTAGTATTGCCTGGAGAAGGTTGTGAGGAGTGGGTTGTGAAGAACAACAGCTGAAAGCTCACCAGTTCCTGTCTGACCCTGTCCACATCCCCCTCTCCTCAACGTGAAGATCATTAGGAGAGCTCTGCGGTCCAGGACAGATGGAAATTGGAGGACCATGCTCAACAGTATGAGAATGAAGTAGAGCTCCACAAGTGGCATAATTATGAAACAAAATTAAAGAGTAGGGAGGAGGTAGGAATTATAGAAAATAGGATTTTGGCTCTCTATACAGGACTTGCAATGCATGGAGTCTACACTGCAACAGGGGACTGCAAACACAAGTGGACAGTGTTTGGTTTTTCCATGCTTCTGGATTTTGCTGGTTAGCATGTGAAGCTAGGACAGTTGGGTCACCATTGCTAGCATGCAGGGAAGTACTGTGGTAAAGAGTTGGCTTCTCTAGCCCTAGAGAAGGAGTACTTGTATATCCCTGATTACAGGTTCTCATACTTTAAAATATTTTCAGACCTTGTGCCCTAAAAGTAGGGACAGCTTAGTTGACTATAAAAAAAAAAAAAAATATTCTCTAAATACTTACTTATTTGAGCCTTGGTTTGTATTAAGTGTTGTTTACATAGTCATTTACTTTCCTGGGAGGGTATTGATATCACACGTTGAAATGCAAGCATTGGATCTTTATAAATGAATCTATTAGTACTATATACTCTGGTTATCATGATTTCTTATGCCTTATTTATGCTGGGGAAATTAATTTGTAGGGGTGCACTAATAGGGATTTTGGGGACCAATACTGATAGCTGATACTTAAGGAGGCATATCAGCTGATACCGATCCGATTTCTGATGCAGCTGGCAAGTCCAGTGTGGTGGAAGGGGCATGGGGGAGGGGTGCAGATCAATGCCCCCCGCAGAAAGGGAGGGGGCAGACACTGCCCAAGCAGGGCAGGGGGGCAGTCGCAGCTCATGGGAGGGGAGGCGGTTCCCACTGTTGCTTGCACCCCGGGGGAGGGGCGGGGGGTGGGCGTGTGTCCCTCAAATCTGCATGGTGCGAGCTGCATCTGGGGCTGTGTGGGGCTCACTGGTGGCGCTGGGACAATGCTGCATCCACCCCAGATTTCACTGCCACTCCACTCCCAGCGCTGTCACCACCAACCACCCAGCGCAGCCCCGGCTCAATGCCCCACCTCCACCCACATGCCGGGAAGAGCCAGGGCTGCACTGGACGACTGGCAGCGGCAGTCCTGGGAGCGGGCGGCGGTGGAACTGGGGTGGGTGCAGCTTCCTCCCAGTGTTACCAGCGCCCACTTCAAGCCCAGCCCCCACTGAGAAGAGCCCCATGAAGCCTCGGCTGCAGCCCGCCCCACCCCATGCAGATCTGGGGGGCACATGGCCCCCCCCCTCCCCCATGCCCTCCTGGTGTGCAAGCAGTGGTGGGAGCTGCCTCAAGCTGTGGCTCCGCCCCTCCCTGCCTCTCCTGGGCAGTGCCTGTTCCTGCCCCTCCCTCACCATGGTGGTGGGGGAGGCATTGATCTGCCTCCCCATACCCCTTCACTCCCTTTCCACCACACCAGACTTACCGGCTGGAGGCAGCTATCCCCACACTACCAGCTGTGCTCCTCGCTGCCCGAGTGCTACGTGCAGCATGGGCATTTATTGGCCCCATCAGGCCGATATCCAATACAGCCAGTTGTCTTAATATTGGTACTGATCTGATATTGGACCGATGTGTCGGTGTATCTCTAATTTGCATAGCTATGTCTATTTATAGCTCAATATTAACTACCTTATCTAGACTAGACTTTTTGTAATGTTTATTGTGTTAAGCTAAAATGTTTTAAAAATATTTTATGAAGGATCCAAAGTAGAAGTCCTTTATGTATACTAGCTCTGTAGAAGTAGAAGTTACTCTGTTGAATGGGCACCTGTTTTAACATTTAAGTGTTTGACTTTGCAATCTTGACACTTTTTTTCCTGTTGTTGTTTGTAATGCAATATCTGTTTCAGATTGCACTTTAAATTTGGTATATTGAAGTGAGGGAATGTTACAATGAGAGAAATTAATGCTGTGCTGCCTTTTTTTCTTTCTTTGACTGTAGTAACAAAGAACAATGTCTTTATGCCATCAAGCTTCTGTGAACCTTCTACAGGAAATTCTGACTCAGAACCAGGTCAGCTTCCTAAACTTTTTCTCAGCAAAAAGTTGTGGATTACGTTGGGATGAAGAATTGTCTGTCTAGCACTTTGAGTAAGAAATTTGCTGGAAGAAAGCAGATTAGTTGCTGCTGTTCGTTTCCATTCATGACCACATTTTCCTGACATTCATTTTAAATGGATTGTTTTTTGTCTTTTGTGTCTTTGGGCTTCTTAATTGTACTTCTCACTTTGCAATAGCTGAACTTCAGGTGAATTGAGAGTAATATTTCTCAGTTTCCGTCATTGCTCTCAAAGATGGGTCAGGGTTCATAATCCTTATCCTGCAAATGTAATTGTCTTTTTCCATGCAAATTGAATGCTGTTACAGAAATAACATAACCCATACATTACAAGACTGTTTAATTCCTGAAAAAGATTTAAACACTAATTGTGCAATGGTTTTACTCTATCTAGGGCCCCCACTACGTGTGCAGGTAAAGGCACAATGGACTCTATGCACAATCCGCACAATCATGCCTCTTGCCCTGCCACACTTACATGGCAGGAGGTGTAATTTTGGGATCTCACATTAGATTGCCTTGTGCCTTATTGCCAGTACAGGGGGAGCTCAATACTGGGCTGCTTCTGCAGATGTGAGCTCCTTCACTTGAGGGGCTGCCAGATGCAGAGGCACCCATGCACCCCTGGGGTTGGGGGAATCACAGCAGCTGTGATCTTCTGTGATTGGGGGTGTGTGAAACCTTCAGGCCCTGGGGATCATGGCAGCTGTGATCCCCACGGCCCAGGGGTTTCATGCAGGTCATGGTGCACTTCTGTGGCTGGGAGCCCTGCCCACTGATGGGGCTCCCAGCCACTGGGGAGCTGCTACACACGCAAATTTAAAGCTTGGTAGCAACCAGGTCTAAAGTTAGATCTCAAAAATGTATACTTACTTGGTAGCTGGTTGGAGCTTTTATTGTATGATAAGTACTTGTAGTTAGTCTTATAGTACCTCTTATAATACCTGTAATGTGCAAAGGGTGCTTAGAAGATAGCCCAAAATTACCAGTTAAAATCCTATCTGACTTCTCTGCCACTCCCCAGCTGCAGCTCTTTCATCCCATTGGAACAGGGAGCTTCACCCCGCTCCTTTTACATCAAAGGGCCTTCTTGTCCATAGTAATTGCCTAGCCGCAGCAAGGAAATGAATGTGTTGGAATCTGTTTTCTTATCCTGAACTTGAAAGAATAGCTAGGCTTGTGTGTGCCAGAGCTTCAGGGGCATCAGTCTGAGCTTCTCTTGACCTGTTGCTGGACATGAGAATTGCAAAATTATATTTTTAGAAGGAACTGAGTAATGAAAAACCTTGATTCTTTCAACTTTGCACCCAACTTAGCGTCATTTTTCTCACGCTCCCCCAAATAATGTGCTCAAATATGTGGAACTGGGCACAAAGTGGCTGGGTTACGGCAACTAGAATTTGGTCCCACAGATGATTTGGGGAGAGAGCCATATTTATATATAAAGTTCAGAGTACGGATCAGTAACTTTACGTAAATGCTGTATCACTGCTAAATGATGCCTCAAGCCTGCAATATTAACTTTGGAATAGTAAACTTTACAAGATGTAACCCTGTCCTTTAGTGACATTTTGTATTAACCATACGATTATTGTAAACACATGGTAATGTCTTTGTTCCAAGTTTAAATTGATACTGCAATTGTTTTTTTTTTCCTTTTTATACAAAGCTTAATAGTGGCTTTATAGAGCATTATTGAATTTTAACCTAATAACAAGACTTGAGTCAGTTTTAACTCACATTAGGAGTTTGCATAATGTTGAGCCCATTTAAGATGAGCAGAAAATTTGACAACAGGAGCCAAATTTCTAAAAGGGACCATTTTATCATATTGACTCAACCAATTTTATCTAAATTCTTAGATAATGTTATTTAATCATTATAAAGTTTGGAGAGGATACCTTGTATTTTTATAATAGAGTTTTCCAAGTACAAAATTTAAATTAGGGAGCCACAGGTAGCTGTTTGACAATAAAAGGCAGAATGTTAAACCCTTGATGTGACAACACAGGCAACATTTACCAATGCAATATACACCAAACCTATTAGACTTGTTTCTGTGTTGCCAGCTTTACTTTAGTACTGCATCTTTTTCATATGCTATTTGAGTCCTGCAGTGTAGAATTCTGGCAATCTGTTAATAGTTTGCTTAATCCCACCCATCATCTTCCCCTCAATTTGTGCATTTATAAAATCCAGTTGCGAAAGGACTAGTGTGCTCTCAGTCAGCAAGTTCTCTTTGGTGACCAAAACAAACAGGCTCCAGAAGCTGCTTGCTCTGCTTTTATAGCGCTTATAGTTTTGGAATACTCTCCTTGGTTGCTTTTGTGGCATCTCAGTTCCTGGTAGACTGAGACTGTTTAAACCATTTTTAAATGGGTTTCTTTTTTGCTTGCAATATGTCTTCTCAGTTTAATTCAGCATTTGTTTTGTTCCTTTTCCTTCTCCATCATGAAATGGAATTGTCCTTTTCAAGAAATCTTTCTTGAACGTGTGAAAAGTTGTTCCTGTCTTCAGGTCGCTGCTCTGGGAACTGAACAGAATTCTTGTACATGTAAATTCCCTGCTTTATGCCATCATGAGTTGTATTTGGTAATTTTAATTAAGAGAATTTCCTCTACCAATTCTCCTTTTGTTTAAAAGAAGAAAAACTGTTTAGTTAAATCTGTATATGTGCATTGCACTTGCTCTCTTAAAGTGGTAAAAACATGCTATAAAGAAGGTCCAGTTGAGTATATATCTTTTCCCTCCTTCTTTGAGAGAGACAATCATTCAAAAGCAAGTTCCAGATACTACTTATTTTTTTGCTGGTCCTGGAGTTATCTTATGACACTTCTAGAAATGTCACAGAATCAGAGAGAGAAGTTCTAGAGTTCTCATTCTTCCCAAGCTTGTGATGGATAAAGCATTCAGTTGGGAACAGGGATATGTGAACCTATAATTCTGTATAAATGATAGTGCTTTTTCTTGCAATATTAAGTAAATGAAAAGCTGAAGTTGGGAAGGGAAATAAATCATTTTCACTTTTGCCTTCTTTTTTTTTGCACTTGAGATGTAGGGGATTTATAATCAATCCTGGTGTTCCCCAGCTTTCTAGTATGAAGTGTTAGGCTGATTTTGAGTTGGGGGAGAAAAAAGTGAAGTGGAGGTTTGTCTGCACACACAATTTTACATGTGAAAATTAAACATCAGATCTGTCAAGTGTGCTTCCCAGCTTCTGCTCGTAGACAATACCTTGTACTTAAATTTTTAAGAACCAACCCCTCCATAAACCATTGTGCAAAATGCAGTATGTGCTGTAGGACTGGCGCAACCCCTCCCCACTTTTTGAATCCCTATCTACAACTGATGCCTTGAAATACTTGATTTAATGTTTTTTAATTTACATGATGAGTAGTCACTAACCAGAAAAATGTTTGTTCTGCAAACATCTAATTTGATTTAACACTGCCCTTTTCTTATTAGAAACCTAATATTGTCTGAACATAGCATACAGTGTCTTTGATATAAAGCTATCTTGAAATAGCTGTCATTTCCTCACATTTGTTAATCGTTTGTGCTTTTCATACTGAATGGGTTATTTTGGAGCTCATTGTCCTGTTGTATTTCTGCACTCAAAAGATCTTTCCTTTTTTATGTAACGGTGCTTTTCACAGTCTCAAAAAGGGAGTGGATTAATTGGGAAAGGGAGGGGTGGCACACAACCTCAGGCTGTTTCCAGGTGGCTTCCCCTTACAGAGGGAGATCTTGGATCTAACTTGTGCCTGATGAAAATGCAGTCTCTTGTGTTTAGATTTAGTTGTGCTTTCAACGTCAGTGTGATAATGATAACTCCTACTTAAAACATCTTTTTGTTTCTTAAGTTTGTCTTGTTTTTGCTTTTGTTCTTAAGAACTCGGGGTTTATTACCAAATGCTCCATTAAGTGGCATATCTTGCTTAAAACAATCAAACTATAAGTTAATGTTTTGCAAATCCTAAAGAGGAAATAATTTGCTGTCACATTCATTGGAAGCTTAGACTTAATGTTACACTGAAGAAAAGGTCACCGGTGTTCTTATATTGTGTATTATGCTTCTAGAGGAAAAGAGCAGTGGATTCCGACTGAAACCGCCAACACTTATCCATGGTCAGGCACCCAGTGCAGGTAGGTTTAACTTTTTTCTGAGGCAAAAGAGAAGCATCCACGTTAAATGAAGATTTCCTTTTATTTGCCACTTTCCTCAAATTAATCTGACAATTGGAAAGGATTGTTGTTCCGGTGAGAGGAGATTTTGAAACAAACACTAAAGTTAAGAAATTTATTTGGAGAGGGGGGTGTGTGTGTGTGTGTGTGTGTGTGTGTGTGTGTGTATATTTAAATATGTATGTGTGTATATATAGGGCTATGCACAAACCCATTAATTTAATTACATTACATTAAAAAGGGAGTGAAAGCTGCTGCTTCAGCTACATCAGCTGTTAAATTGCAGCTATATTGCTATGGGAGCATGCAGATGCAACAAGGGCTTTAATTTCAACAAGGAATTAAATGATTAAGTTGCAGTGGTTTTGCTTTACTTGAATCACTACAGGAGCATGCAGATGTAATACTTAGAGCATAACATCTTATATTTGTACAGTAGAACCCTGGCCACTTCACAAACCTTCTTCTTTGTAGAGGGGTAAGGATCCCAACCCTTCAGAGTAACCAGAGATATACAGAAAACAGGACCACTTAGATGCTCCAGCAGTTTGCTGTAGATTTATTGAAAAGGTTGCCACTTCCTCACTCAGTTGGAGCCCAGACTCCACTCTTCTGGCAGGAGAAGTGGCACCCTTTGAATTAAAAACTATAGAAAAGAGCTGAACGACTTGTCCTAAATTTAGTGGGTAGCCCTCTGTAGGTTATGTGTATCGTGAGCTACCCAGGTGCAACTAATCCAGGCTTTTTATTTGATATTGATATGATTGTTAAATGGAAATTGAACTCTTCTTAATGGAATTCATAATTTTTAACCAATATGGAAACTTTATTTTGGGCATAGTACATGCAGGAATTAATTATAGCTTTCTTCTGGTGCCCAAAGCTGACTTGCTAAATTTGCATTTGCTTGGGGCGTGGTTGCATTCTCCTTGTCCAGAACTTGGATGGGGCCTGTCTCTTTGGATATTTGGAAAGGCAAACAAATTTTTGAAAAGTGAGATGTTAATGTAAGGGTGACATTTTTTCATGGTATTTTAATGAGCCAGGGGTTGGTCTTTCACTTATTTCAGTAGAGTAACGCTAAAGCATTGGGGATTCCCATAAACTACTGGAGTCAATCCAGTTGGGGTTTTCTAATGGACCAGGGGTGGGCAATTATTTTGGTTGGTGGGCTACTTAATGAGTTTTGGTGAGCTGTCAGGGGCTGGGCACATAAAATCTTTTAGAAGATATCATTTTAACAAATTATAGATAAAAAAACAAGTTGTACTGTATACTAAAAATCAAACATTTACTGTAATGTTTTAGTTTTATTTAAAAAATATTTTTTGTCCTGGTTTGCTGCTTTTTGAGTAGTGTATATAGAAGTGATTTGTATTATAGCTCAAAATAGTCACAGTCTTGTATATTGTGAGAGTGGGTGTGAGGGACTACCTATGGGCTAGGACCTGGGAGCCAGCTGGGGGTGGTGGGTTATGTGGCGCATGCAGCAGAGCTTGCTTGGACAGTGTGGTGCAGGTGCATTGTGCCCGCTCCCCCCACCATTCAGCTCGTGGTGTTCCACATGGGGCTGAGCCTCACCCCTGGCAGCTCCTGTCCACATCCACCCCACACCTGGCTGCAGCTGGGCAGCTCCTGCCCCAGCACACAGTGCTGGAAGTTGGCTGGGTGCTGGAGTTGGAGCCTGGTGTGCTGGGGCAGGAGCTGCCTGGCTTTAGGCCTACCCTTCCCCCTCGACCCTGCCCTCTGCCTCCGAGCAGCATGGGACGGGGGGAGGAGGAGGAGCTGAGCAGTACCCAGGTGGCTGAAGCAAGAGCCAGGAAGCTGTGCATCCTGGCTTGGGCTGGGCAGTGCTATTAGTGGGTGAGAGATGTAGTGTGGGCTGCCCTGGGTGGGAATGGGTGGGGTGTGGCCCCATGTAGAGTGCTGTGGGGGCAGCCATGAGCTGGATATAATCAGTCGGTAGGCTGGATCCAGCCTGTGAGCCATATTTTGCCCACCCCCTAACAGATTGTTTAAGGTTAGTTGGACTTCTGAATCCAGATATGAAAGGAATGCTATAAGAAAATTCAGTATATTTCCAAATATCAGGTTAATTCTTAGAGGTAGCTGGGTTAAACTGCCAGATTATTGTGTTGTCAGTAAGATTTAAAGTTACATAAAATAATATTTCACTCCTCAGAATCTAGAAGTTGGAGAATTTAAAAGAGAAGGGGAAGAGAGGGGGGATCTGAGGCCCCCGCATCAGATCTTTTACATTTAAGGCATGGTTAGCCAGTTGTCATGTCTTAAATGGTAACCTGGCCACACATTAAAGCAATTAGTGGTCTCATAAAACAAGGGATAACCTACGAAGTTGTGCCACAAAAAATATGTAATAACTTTGCGGATCGTTCCTCTCACACCATTAATTGAACATGTGGCCAGATGTGTCCCTGTGGTGGAGAGCCCCATCAGCTGGTGGGACTCCCCACTGCAGGAGCACATGGTATACCACCAAGGCTGGGAGCCCTGTCAGCTGAGGGGGGCTCCTAGCCTTAGGAGCTTGCTACTTGCCAGTGCAGGGGGAACCAGGGATCATGATCCGGGGCTCTCCCTGTACTGGCAAGAAGTTGAGATGGCATCTTATGCTTGATTCCCACAATCACACGTCCTGTCCTGTCCTGCAGATGTGGCATGGCAGGAGGTGCAATTGTGTGGATCATGCATCAGATCCTGTTGTGCTTTTATGTGCATGTCTGGCAGGGACCTAGGTTATGGATCTGGGCACTGCTCTCAAATATAGCTGGGAGTACTTGTTTTGCACATTACTTAAAATTTAATGGTTCCCAATTTAGGGTGCTCTGGCAGCTTGGGGTGGCATGAGATCCTCTTGGGGGCACCATGGCCTTCCACCCCACATTAGCACTGTTAAGTGTACCATCTTTTATATGTGATCTGCAACTTAAACCCAGAGATTTCAAATAGGAATCCAGTGAAATACATTCTGACCTGTTGTGGGCTTTCTTGAGGTTTTTAGCAACAGGAGAATTGCTCTATCTTCTGCAGTCAAAAATGATTGAAAATTAATGTTTAAATGGGGTGCTGATGAATTCAGAAGTGCCTTGAATCTGAAAAGATTGTGAACTTTTCCTTTTAAATGAACCTTTCTGGCTTTCCCCCCAGTGTACCTTTTATTTAAATGTAAAGTTGGTGGCTGAATGAAAAATACATGTGGATTTGTTTAAAGATTAGTAACAAAACAGTAATCTTACCCCTCATCTGAAATAATTTTGGAGAAATAAATGGGAAAATGCCTTTTCCAATGTAAATAAAATTCTACTTTTAACTTTGTCCTGTTCAGATGCTTAGGGAAAACTAGACGGAAATTGAATTTTGCAACTCAGTACATTTAAATATCTGAAGGTCCTGGAAAAGTTTGCTTCCATTTTTAGGCCTCCCAAGCCAGAAACCGAAAGAACAGCAACGAAGCGTACTGCGTCCTGCAGTATTACAAGCACCACAGCCAAAGGCTTTCTCACAAATGGGTAAATCACATTTCTCTATTGGTTTATAATTTTACCTTTACTCTGTATGTAGATATGGTGGGGAAAACTTAGTTGCAACAGGCTTTATTTTAGATGTCTTCCAGATTTGCCCTTTCTTTCAAAGAAAAAAAAGACCAGAAATTAAGTGTAAACCTAAGATTGTACATGGTGACCTATATGGGATGCAGGTAGTAAATGCAACTTGGGTGAATGGCGAGGCATTGTCTCCAGCACCAAAATAGTGTGGCTTTCTCTACAGCCGTAAGTCCTAGCATTTGGTTTTCCAGAGTATTGTTGACTTCAGTATCCTGATGTTACTTTAACTTCAGTTCATGCACTTTCCACATTTTAGCATGAATTGCAACCTGAATTAAGCAGATTTTTTGCTTAATCCTGCTTATTTTATATGTTGTGAAACTGATTTTACAAAGAGCCAAGGAAAGATTTATAGTTTTCATTTGAATGTATAGTGTTTTTAACTTAATTCTTTAAGCAAATCTTTATAGTAGTACCGAATTGCGTTTTCTAATCACCTAGGAAATTATATTGCAATTTTAATACCACTAAATTCTATAAAGCATTCTAAGGTTTCTAGTATTATTGTGTTACCACCAATTTTATTTATATAGTTATCTAGGAAGCTAAATATTTGTTAGGGTGGCCACTTAATTTATAACATGTAATATTGGCATGTCATTTTTCATTATAGTTCCAAGCAGTGGGACCAATGGTATAAACGCCCCACCAGATTCTGGAGTGGCAGCTCCATCAGAATCATTAATCAGCACAACAGTGAAAAGATCAGACTCTGAAGACAAGGTGAGTTTCCATTGGTCTCAGATCACTGTCAAGCTTTTTTTTGATAACGTTAAATTGCATCTCTTGCTAGTATTGTGACTTCCCTGTAGGGATAGCTCCTTTACTTAGATATTTACCTGAAGTGAGGTAGAAGCACTGATCAAGAATTGTAAAGTAAACCTTGTGAAGCCTAGCAATCTTACTATATTAGAAAGTGTCCTTTGCCAAAACAGACTAATTTGCCACTACAAATGCAACAACTGAACTGGTCTTCTTGACAGATACCTTCCATTCTCAGTAGCACTAGTGGATATACTGCCCAGGCCAGCTTTTGGGCCAGATTCTATTCTACTTATCCACATAAGTGGATTTAGGATTGCAGTTAGGTGCCTGCTTCATCCTGTTTAAGTACATGGAAAAATTTAATGCAAAAGCCGGGGGGGGGGTCCTCTTCCTTCCTGCTGCTTTTTTGTGATTTAGTCTTGTAAAATGATTGTTACAAAAATAGATGAATTAATACACTTTCAGGGACTTGAACAGCTGGAATAAAATCACACTTGGGCATCTAAGTCTGTTTAGATGCCGAATAGGTAGAATAAAATGTGGCCCTGTGTTTCTGTTCCTAACAGAAATGAACCATTCTATCAGTTCTTGTTTTTCCACCCATTTAGCATTGTTGCCACCCTCCTACCACTATCACTAGCTTTCAATAATCTGATAAATTTGCCAGCAAGAGTTTAATAGACTTTCATTCTGGAAAAGTGGTTTCTCCCTTTGAGAGTTGAATGATATATGCTTCTTATTCAGCTCTGGTCTGCAGGTGTCTCCCTCGCTCTACTCTATATGCAGTGCAGAGTCAGGAGTAGAAAACTCTGTTGCAAATAGCGCATACAAATTGAAGCTTCTCTATAAGGGAAGAGATACCTGCATCTGGCAGTTTTTCTTGACTCATCTGTAGGGATCCCCATTCCAGTGGAACGTAAAAGCTGGTTTGAGTGGAACTTTGCTGGAAATGGGAAAGAGGAGAGAGCTTTGGTGAAAGTCTAGATATGTATTTTTAGGAGCAGAATTAATTGCTCTTAAAGCAAGACTATTTGCATTCAGCTTTCTTCCACCTTGTTAAGTAAACTGAAATCCCACTTTTATGACCTATATACAATTAAAAATGCATTTATTGGTATTTATATTTTAAATGGTTGTTTCTGCCTCTTGAATTTAGTATGATATGGCAATAGGAATTGTGGGGATGTAAAATGTTAGGGACTGAGATAAGTGAAGGCATTTAAAGTGTCATCGAAGCCACAGAAAAGGGGTTGCAGAGAAGAGGTGCAGATTTCCTTGGGGCATGAAGCTCTAAGAGGTAAAACTAGAAGGCAAAACCATAGAAATCAGGAGGAGACTTAGATCTCAGGATTTTAGAGGGACCTGTTGAAGTAAAACACAAACAGGGAAGTAAGAGAGGTAATTATTAGGGCTGTGCAAAACAGCACCATTCCGATCTGACTTCTGTTTCAACGATTTGATGGAACAGTGTTTCGTTTAGAATTTTGTTTAGTTTTGAAAGCGCGTCTGTTTCATTTCGTCGAAACATTGAAACAGCAAAACAGTTTCGCCCATAAGTTATTATGGGGAAACATAAAATGCAGCAGACAGGCAGATCAGGGGCTTGCCCGCACCCCTGGGAGGGCTGCAGGGGCTGTGCTGGAGTCCTCCCGGGAGTGCGAGCCCCTGATTTGCCTGCCAGATGACAGACCAGTGCTGGGCACAGCCCACACCCAGTGCCAGGAAAGTTGGTGCTGCCGTCGGCCCCAGGTGGCAGCACCCAGCTCCTGTCATCTGGCAGGCAGATCGGCGGCATGTACCTCCGGGAGGACTCTGGCACAGCCCCCACAGCCCTCCCAGGGGTGTTGGCGGGCCCCTGATCTGCACTTCATCATGCATCAGCAGATGCATGACAAACGGAACCAAGGAGGTGATATTTCCCCTCTATGCGGCATTGGTCAGACCACAGTTGTAATACTGCGTGCAGTTTTGGGTGCCACACTTTGTAAGAGGGATGTGGATAACCTGGAGAGGGTCCAGAGAAGGGCCACTCATATGGTTAAGGGCTTGCAGGCCAAGCCCTATGAGGAGAGACTGGGGCACCTGGACCTCTTCAGCCTCCGCAAGAGACGGTTGAGAGGTGACCTTGTGGCTGCCTATAAGTTCATCACGGGGGCACAGAAGGGAATTGG